AAAACACTGACATAGGTTAGCCTAAACTTATTTCCCAGGCACTCTACGGAAGTTACTGAAGTGCTAGAGGGCATGGCATGGATAGTAACTTGGACAAGGAAGGTTGAATGAGCAACAGGTGGGTTGGTAACAGCCAACGGCTATGCCAGATTGATTAACAAGCGTGAAATCAGTGCAGTTTTTCACTTCAGTTAGTATAAGAATGAGTGATTTGGGCATTGTGTTGTACATGCAGTTTACAGCTTCAGCACTAGTGCAAAAGCATTTTCATTGCTTCCTCATTATCACTGATACTGAAAATAATTAAATTCACTGGTTGCCGCTTTGGTTTTTCCCAAAGGGCAGTGCAGGAAAGGCTAGAGCTGATGTGATACTTGATGTCTGCTTATGCTACACTTAAAATGACTGCCAGCTGTCAGCAGCTGGCACATGCTTCAGATCCAGTGCATGGCTCACACATCCCAAAATCACAGGAATTACTGTATATCCTATCTTTTCTTACAAGGGCCTTTGCACCGCAGTAGTTCAATAGATCAGAGTCTGTCTCCCAGATAAGCTGGTTGAGTCGTGCAGGCGGGGTCTGGCCTTTCCTGCCCAGTTGGCAAATGCTGCTTTGGACACAGCTTAATCATAATGCAAAGTTCTTGAAGTCTGCTGTACTGATTTTTTTTAGTGTTGCAGCCAACATTCTCCCACTTGTTACCTCCTAGAAAGCAATCAAGCTGATCAGTAAGGTATTGTGTTAGTTACTGCATTTTAAGGACAATGAGGAGATAATCTGCTATTGACTTCAAGTCTTGTTTGCCAACTGTTGCATGAATCATCCGAGAATGCCACTCTAGCAGGGGTGTATCTGCTTATCTTTGTAAATACTGTGTTGTCTCTGATTCAAGTTAAAATGTGTTCAGGTATTTCAGTCTTATGTATCAAGACATTTCATTTCTGGAATGCACAAGAGAGCTGAGTACTGAATGTCATTTTTTAACACTGCAGGAAATAGGTACAGCTAAAAGCACAGATACTGCCCAGCACATGGAATAAATCAGTACTCAAACTATCCAGCACTAAATCCATGGTAAGATAGCAACTCCGATTTCACAGAATCACAGAATTGTAGGGGTTGGAAGGGACCTCCAGAGATCACTGAGTCCAACCCCCTGCCAAAGCAGGTTCCCTACAGCAGGTCGCACAGGTAGGCATCCAGGCAGGTCTTGAACATCTCCAGAGAAGGAGACTCCACCACCTCCCTGGGCAGCCTGTTCCAGTGCTCCATCACCTCACTGTAAAGAAGTTCTTGTGCACATTGGTGCAGAACTTCCTATGCTGCAGTTTCCGGCCGTTTCCCCTTGTCCTGTCTCCACTCACCACTGAAAAGAGTCCGGCCTCGCCATTCTGCCCCCCACACCTTAGATATTTATAGACCTGGATCAGGTCCCCTCTCAGTCTTCTTTTCTCAAGGCTGAACAGACCCAGTTCACTCAGCCTTTCCTCATAGGAGAGATGCTCCAGGCCCTTCACCATCTTTGTGGCCCTCCGCTGGACTCTTTCCAAGAGATCCCTGTCTTTTTTGTACTGGGGAGCCCAGAACTGGACGCAGTACTCCAGATGAGGTCTTACCAGGGCAGAGTAGAGGGGGAGGATCACCTCCCTCGACCTGCTGGCCACGCTCTTTTTAATGCACCCCAGGATGCCATTGGCCCTCTTGGCCACAAGGGCACACTGCTGGCTCATGGCCAACCTGTCGTCCACCAGGACACCCAGGTCCCTCTCTGCAGAGCTCCTCTCCAGCAGCTCATCCCCCAGCCTGTACCACTGCATGCAATTATTCCTCCCCAGATGCAAGACTCTACACTTGCTTTTGTTAAACCTCATCCGGTTTTTTTCTGCCCAGCTCTCCAGCCTGTCCAGGTCTCGCTGAATGGCAGCACGGCCTTCAGGTGTGTCAGCCAATCCTCCCAACTTCGTATCATCAGCAGTTTGCTGCCCCTGAGGTACTCTTAGCCCAGAATCATCAGTTTTGGCAAGCTATTTAATTCATGCTAATTTTTAGGGGGAGGGAAAGAAAAACACCCTGCATTGCAAAAGTTTGGGTTTCGAGTTTAGTGTAGAAGAACTGACACCTTTCATCCTTTAAATTTTGAAGAAAAAAAGTACTTTAAATTTGTGATCTTACAAAGTGTAAGATGAACTGTCAGCAGTTGGTGACAAGCAGAAGTTGAGTGGTAGATTATGGAATTCCAGAGATGAAGAGATGAAGCTAAAGATTTCATCACAGTGAGTGCAAAGCAAAAGGGGGCAGACAGCTCTTTGCTGAACTCAGGAGCATGAGCAAGGGAAGAGAGCTATAAACTGAAGAAGGAACACTTATACCACATGCATTTATGGAATTGTAGCCCAATATCAGCATTTGGAAAGTTATGCTAGTGCAGGCTTGAGTAAGATTACTCTAAATTTATTAATTTCAAAAAAGTTAGATACTATAATATTGGATACTAGATATAATAAGATAATAAGATAACTAGATATTTGCCATGTTCTTGGAAAAAAAAAAAAAAAGAAGAAGCAAATGATTATTCTTTCAATAGTATGCAGTCTGATTTAGCATTTCCACTGATGCAGAACAGGTATACTTGTGAAGATGTGTGCCTTGCAAAAATAAGCTGAAGTTCACACCGAGGAGGTATTTTTGAAAATCTTCACTGTAATCTTTTGTGGTTTTTTTACTTTACCTATGAGAAGCTGCATCTGAAATTCATTCAGTGAGTTTCAAAGTAATTTGTAATGGCTTATTTTTAATCATAACTGGGAACACCTCAGTGGAAAGTTACAGATAGATGTGAGAGAGTGACTTCTTTCAGCTCTTGGAAACAAATTAAATGCTGTGTGGTCTATATCTGTCGCATCTTATTTCTATGGTCAGACCCAAGAATGAGAGAGAGAGATTTAATTTCTGTGCGTTGTATCCTACAAGTACGCTATGTCATAGTTTGAAACTTCAGCTGATTAAATGGTTGAGAGTGCACTGTACACATTCATTTAACATCCTCTAAAGCCACTTAGTGAGTAGTAACACCACCTCTTTGGGACTGTACTTTAATTTAGTCTAGGATAGTGTGATTTTGTATATATTTTTAAATATATACATACATATTCTGATGCTTATCTTTAATATGTAAAAAAAAAATGACAAATGTAAAAAAGCATGTTAACTAAAATAAATTACTTCAGTCTCTCCACAGTGATACAGTGTTTTTATAATTAAACTACAAATATACAATCATGAATCACTCTGATGGTACATTATGTTACTCTGAATTGTAGATATGACTAAGAAAATATATATTTTTTTTTTAATTAGTCTGTGAGGTTTATAAACTACTGAATGCTATACACTGGAAACAATTCTTATGAAGTATTTTCAGAGGACGTCGTAATATGCATCCCTACTTTCAGTACTGTTCAGTGAAAAATGTAAAAAACCCACAGATCAACAATAGATTGTGTTGAAAAATCTCAATTACTGCATGTAAGATTTTTCAAAAGCATTCCAACCCATATAGTCTATTGCTTTGAATTTTGTCTAATTTCTTTAATACTACAACACTGTAATCTACATCTACTGACCTGCTGCTGCTCTCTCTCTTTACATGTGAAGATCTGTACTAGAGCTCTTTGAAAAATTTGCTTTATTCACGATCTCTTATATGTTGTGAGAGACTGATAAAGTAATCTTTCATCAGTAAAGGAGCTTTCATTCTGATTCTGACTTATTTTTCATGGACTTCCTATTTCATAAAGACTTTACCAATATCTAGTGTTGTAAAGATAAATAGGCTTATATTCAGTTCAATTGTTTAAATCGTTGTTATTATTGTCCCACTAAAGTTAAAGAAATTTTTACAGTTGATTAAAACAGAGTCCAGACTTAAGTGAGCTTTTTGCTTGGTCACGTGTCTATGCACTGAAAAATCATTAATTTAGTTTTTGGTGTTTTTTCCTAATTCTGCTGCCTTTGGCCCTTAAGTGTCAGTGTTACTATGAGTTTATATTCAATAGTCTTATTAAGTAGTCATGTGGGCTTCTCATTCAAAATATTACTGTTGTGGTGAACAGCACTAATCCTGCAGGCAAGTTTTGATACTTGAAACTACATTTTGTGATTCACAGAAGGAACAAGATTGTCAGTAAAGACCAGGAGACTTAGAATCAATCAAATTGTAAGCATCTGTAGTATTTTTCTTCTCTTTTCCCCCAACCCTTTCTTGTTAGACAGTGCAAATAATTTATCTCTTTGTTTTTAGTCCAAGCTAAAACTTGTAGGTTTCTATTAATAAGGCCACAGTTGATCAGCTTAAGGCTTTCCTGGCACTGGGTACAGCTACCAAGAAATTTTTGACTAGATTATGGCAATATGATCAGTCAGACCGGAAAGGGAATTTGCTGAAAAGGGAAAATGAGATTTCTAATCAACAATAGAAAATATTGGGGTTGAAAAAAACATTAGCTTAGCACTGAAATAATTAAAAATTATGATCTGAGCCATCTGAGGTGGAAGAGTAGTAATTCAGGCATTCCCATGTTGATCTGTGCACCTTCTTAGTTTTCCATGCAAGCTCTTCTCTCCTTTTGCATAACTGTGAAAGGAAATCCAAAGTGACTAATAGGAGAAGTCTCTCAAGAAACACTCCCTGTTCCTGGGAAAATTATTCAGTACATTTGGGAAGATACATTAAATAGAAAAAGACAAGACAAGAGAGCTCAATTCTTGAAATAAAATCCAGCAGAGTAAACTCCAGCTGGTATTTGTGAAAATGTGTTTTCATAGAAGTGGTTATCCTGTTATACCAGAGTTTAATAAGAAAAGGAAAAAAAAAAAAAAATAGCAAAGCTTAAGTCTTCTTTGCTACATGGTGCTACAATTTTGTCATGCTTATCATAATTAAAAATCATAACTTACTTTTCTGTCACTGTATATGAGCCATGTTTTATTTGTTTCATAGGATGTCACATGTACTTCAGTTTGAAGATAAGAGCAGAAAGGTGAAAGATGCAAGCATGCAGGATGAAGACACTTTCGAGATCTATGATCCACGGAATCCTGTAACTAAGAGGAGAAGAGAAGAAAGCAAGAAGATAATGAGAGAAAAAAAGGAAAGGAGATAAAATGAATGTAATGCTAGCCAGAGCTGCTTTGAAAAGTGACTGCAATAAAGCACTGGCTCTTTTGTAAGCTGTAGATCTTAAAAATATCACTGGGCAAGTGTAAAAAGGAATCTCTCAGGACGCTATTGTATGGTTTTGAATCTGGACTACCATTTGTTTCTCAAGTTGTGCATTAAAATGCTCTCAGTGCATTCATTATCCAAATTCTGTAAAGCTTTGTGTGTATTAATGAAACAACTGACTACTTTGGTCTGTGCTTTAATTACAGTAGTCACCACCATAATTAAAAAGTTTTCAACATAAAGAATCAGATTTTTTTTCAGTAAGGATAGAATTAGAAAACAGAAACACCATTCCAAAAGTATAATTATTATTATTGGTTTATGAGAAGGTGTATAAACATTACAGCAGTAGCCACTGACTTCCTGAGCTACTCTGTCATTGAATTAAGATTATTTAGAATGGCCCCATCTTTCTTGAAAGTTTAATTTGAGGAATTGGTTATTTTTTCCTCCTTTTGAAATATATATTCCAATACATAAATACCAATACATATTCCAGCTTGGGATAAGGAATCTGGGTAGTGTTATTTCACTATCAGTGCCACAATAATAAAAAGAGAATTTGAATGGATTACAGTGATTGCTTAAACTGCTGCAATACTAAAAACCTCCCATTGCTAGAATTTTCACTTTGAAGTAGCTGGTAATTCAGGTTCATTTATTAATTAGTCCAGTACTGAAATGAAAAATGTGATCAGTCTTATTAGAAATTTAACCCTTTTTAGAAGAATTATTTTACCATCTTAAAATAAACAGTCTGTAGACAAGTTTCCAGAAAGTCATAGTCTTTCCACAGATTTCCCCCTCCTTTCTCCAGGTGCTAGCATTTTTGCATAAACTTAAGAATTCTCACTGCTGCATCTTTACAGCACCTTCTGATGCTGCAGAAGCTTGGAGAACCCACATGGGTAATAGTTAAGAAGAGGGATACAAGTGAGGAAGGTCATTAAGAAGTGTGTCCCAGAGAAGTGTTTTGCAGATGTTGTTTTTAGAACACATTCAGTAAAGTATGGCGTCCTTATCAAGCTGCCACTGCCAAATTTCTTGATAGGGTCTGAGGTGTGAGGTACATAAACCTGCACTGGTGGGTTAGTATGGCCCAAATGCCAGAGGTCAGATTAATCCACACTATTGCTTTAATGTGCAGTGTAATCTAGGAGATAAAAAGAAAACTTGGAGGTGTGACATGAGATCCTGTATAAAGCTGTCATTATCCTCCTCTTAGGCTAAGTGAACTATATTGCACCATGGTGTAAAGAAGTTAAGAGGGGTTACATACTTAAATATAGCCATTCACAGCCCAGTAAGTCAAAATTATTAGGCCATTTTCTATCAGGCTTTGAGTATCTTACATGAACATCTTACACTGCATGCTGTTAACACTATTCATTGCTTTGCTTGTAGAAAAAAATGCAAGTTTTAAAATAGTTGTTATAGGAAATGAGTGTATAAAATCCTGATTCTGATGGGGTGGGTGGAAGACACGGAGGATGTGGGTGAAAGTGTGCGTGCTGGAAGAAGAGTTAGGGCAGGGAAAGTGAGGACTACAACTAGGAAGAAACTTCAGCATCAATTCCAGGAGACAGCTTCTGGCCTTATAATAGAAAAACACTCTAATTACATAATTTTCCTGTAAGCAGAAATAGGATACGAGGGGATGAATGAGCAAGTTGACTAACAGCCCTTTTTGCTGGGTTTTTTTTGTTGTTGGTTTTTTTTGTGTTGTTTTTTTTTCCAACTCCCGCAGTAGGTCTGTTTGTGCTGTACTTGATGATTCACATTCATAAGCACTGGAAAAGCATGAAGAGAAAAGCTTCACTCACGGTTTGGAGCTTCACTCAAGCAGGCGGTGGTCTGAAAGGATGATCTGTGGTAACATCACAAGAACAAGGAAGTAACTTTATGCTGATATTGTTTTGGCAGGTGAAGACTGCATTGAAAATTAGTATACATTTTTTTCCATAGACAATTTATCCTACTTAATGAATACTACAGCTGAAACCACGTGTTGCCTTTTAAAGCTAATTGTAAACATCATTCAGTTACGCTTTCTTCTGAGAGGGCACAAAGGCCTTCCCCCAAAAAAGGAAATTTATACCCAAGCAGCAGTCTTTCCTATGTCTAGTGAATATTCCTAAAGAAGTAATGATAGACTTTTACTGCATCAAACGCAGGTTCACAGTAATAAGCTGGCATGCAGTTTGCACTGTGTCTGGCTATCCGTCATGGGTGTCTAACCTTGAGGCTCGCCCGGGCCTCACTAAGTGAAGAGGAATCGTCTTGTGCCACATATAAAATATATAATACAGCTAATGCATGTAAGTAACAAGACTTTTTTAATATATACTTTTTAGTAAAATATAGAAGAGCAACAAAAACAGAACTAGCGGGTTAGACACATGGATTTAGATACAAAAGAGGGAAACCATTTTGAATGACAGTGCCTTTGTGTTTGGTAAATGGGATTAACTTTCCTGGAAGTTGGCATTTTGCTGTGTACTAAACTCATATGTAAGGGTGGAGATTAAAATCCTTACATTTTTTCTGTTTATGTATGGCAAAGTACATTAAAAAAAAAAGAAAAAAGTAAGCTGAACCTACATCTATTCAACAAAGGAGGCAGGATTTGTAATTATTCCTTCATTTATATTTTTTCCCTTATGAATAGGATTTGTAGCTTTTGAAACTAGTATGATACCTACAAGCAAAGCTCTTCTAGCTCATGATGATGCTGTACTGCATGTTATAGCTAACATAGGCACTATAGAAGATTTGGAACAAAACATAAAAAGCAAGTAGGTAATCTACTTTCAGCAGTCTCTTGATAACCTTGCCAATGGAAGGCAGATTTGTTAGGGTAGTTTCTTGCATCATTTTTAGCAGACTGATCTGTAATGCACTCCATGACACTAGATATCAATAAAGATTTATTATAGAAAATGTTACCATTTGGTAACATTTCATTGGACCTCTGAGATCTCAAAGGATCTTCTGTCATCCTTATTGAATGTCTTTGCAGTCACAGCTGTTACACATACAGAGGCAGTGTCGTCAGTATCTATCCTTCTCCACTTGTAAACGTGCTAGACACCATCCTTGTATACCCCAAGGTGTACAGATTAAAAGAGTAAATCAAATGCAAACTAAAGAACTACCAACTACTTGCTTGCTTTTTATCACAATCCACAATGCAATAGGGTAAATAATGCAGCATACATGTTAAGTAAGCATTTCAGGTACCCTAAATTCACTTAAAGTAGTTAGTAGTTAGATTAGCTAGTTCTAAAAGTGACAAAAGTCCTACAGTGGTATCTAAATTCACAAGAAGAGAGGACAGGACAAGACAGGAGAGATGCTGTCAGGGTCTGCAGTGTCATGTTACACATTTCTTCCTGAGCAATGCTGGCTTGCAGCGCCAGCAGGTTTGAGTGGAGGTTGTTCCCTTACTGTTTGCTTTCTGCAGTAAGTGGGTGACTAAACTGTGGAGTTAAAATAACTACACACTGGCGTTGTCTGCTCTTTTCTAGAGGAACTCAGGCTTGCAGGAGACAGAGTTATGTTCTGGCAACATAAAAACCTGCCTCAGACGGAGCGGGTGGCTCCAGACTCTGCCTCATCCTGGCAGATCAGCATCTGTCGTTATTTAAATGACGACAGACAACTGGGGCCGTGAGATATGTATTCTCAGTAAAAGATGCAGTAAAAGTACTTGCTTACATCTTTCACTGTAACAGAACATGAGCTGATGAGATTGTGGCTACACTTAAAATTTAATGCTGGTGTATATATAGAACAGAGGATGTAAATGGAAAATTGACACCACGTCTCGGCATTTTTTTTCCAATAGAAAACTTACATCAACTGGTAATGTCTACCAAACAGTGCCAGTTAAACACAAGAAGCTGACCACAACTAGGATTGTTGGTAAGAGATGACACTGAAGTACCTAAGGAGGCCTGGGGGCACTGATGACAGCCCTGTGTCACTGCCTGCTCCCTGCTGCCAGCACACACAGTGTGTTCAGAGTGAGCCGGAGAAAACACCTGAACCCAGTGCTGTTGATGCTCCTGCTGCCTCCTTCTCCAGTAGCCTCATTACCTGGGCTTAAACTTGACAACTAACTGACTTTCCATCTCAGATGGTGTCTTGGGCCTTAAGTCCCTTGCTGAGAGTTGCTTGTGCCCATTACTTCTTATTCCATTTTTGGGAATGTGTTATCTTTTGATAGCACCTTCCTGCTCTCTCAGTACAAGAAGTTCTCAAGATACAAGTCACCATACAATGGTTTCCCTGCTCCATTATCCTGGTCAGATGCTAGTCCTGGTCACTTTCCTGAGAAATTAATGTTTGTTTGTCACAGTAGTGCTGAGAATTTGTCAATCTTTGTCAGTTTTGTCAAGAATTTGTCAAGTTTGTCATCTCCTGCCAATTTGGTATCTGTTGATCACAGATGGGGGTTTCCATGTGATCTTACATATATTCAGACCTTTTCTCAGCTTTGTTTATAAGCTTTGTTTATAAGCTGCAGGTCAGAAGTGTCTTTTTAAAAGGCAGCTGCAGATGTAAGACACTTTTGCAGGTCTTTCTTATGAGTTTCTCATTTGTTGAGTATTCGATTGCCTTTTTCTTCCCCAAGACTTCATCACCGTATCGTCTCTTCACCATTTCTTCCCCGTTAGCCACACATGCTAATGAGCCAGAGAATGGATTCCGTACTCTTCTCCTTCCCCTTCCAGAACGGATTGCTACCACATTTATAGCTAGGCACATTGTATTGAACAATATCTCTGTGTTCCTGATACAGAGGCTTCCTGATACAGAGCTGAAGAATCTGTACAACTCTCACAAATACCACACTTCAGTTGAGGCCCAATTTTATTTTATTATGATGTGCTTAATACATGTTATGTGCATATAGTTTCTATACATCATACAAATATTCACAAAAATCCAAAACTTCAGTGAGTAGACTTACAATTGAAATTGAATTAAATTGAAAATTTAACTTCATTATGTTTAAAGTAGTCTCCCTGTATATCTCCCTTTTTTTTATTGTTCCTGAAATACACAATGAAACAGCATCATGCCAAAAATGTTTTCTCCGTTACTCTGGATCATATCCGTTAAGTCATACATAAATGATGAAAGCTGGAAGCTGCTAGACATTTCTACTGCATCAGACTGTTACACTGAACTGATAGCACTTGGCATAGTATATGGTTCTGATACACAAGAAATCTGATCTCAGAATGAGAATCTTCTAACTGCAAACTGCAACTGGTAACTGTTGCCCCTCCAAAGTTGTAAAAAATTCAGAGAGCTAATTTTCAGGAAAAAAGAACTCAAACCTATTCTTTTCAATTTTTTAAACATAAATAGGTTGATAATAAGCTTCTACTTACAAAGTACCATTAAAAAAAGATCACGTTGCCAACCTTAATAACTGAATTTGCAGACATTTCTATAGAAGAGACTACGCAAAGTACA